GAACAGAAGAGGAATGGGGGGGGGGGAGGTAAATGTCTGTGAGCTAATGATATTAGAGGTGATAATTGGGGAAGCTATCTTTGTAATGGGTAAGATAATTAATGTCTTTGTTTAGACCAAGTCATAAAGTGTCAAATTTAAGCATGAATGACAGTTCAGAGGATTCCCTTTCAAGTCTGGTGTGATAAGGTCTTTGAAGCAGGATGCAGGTAATCAAGTCATTGAGACAATGTCCTTTCTGGTTGAAATGGCAAGAAACTGTTTTTTCTTTGTGATCCTGTCTAATATCTGTTTTGTGGGCATTGATTCTTTGGCAAAGTGTCTGAGACGTTTGTCCAATGTACATAGCAGATGGACACTTTTGGCACATGATAGCATAATCATATTTATGGATGAGCAAGAATATGTGTTCTTGATCTTATAACTCAATTGGTTAGGTCCAATAATGGTATCAGCAGAGTGAATATGTGGACAAAGCTGGCAACGGAGTTTGTTGCAAGGGAAAGTTCCAGGGTTGGTATTAGTGTGGTATGTCCTGTGGTTGTTGGTAAGAATCATCTTGAGGTTAGGTGGTTGTCTATTGGAGACTATGGGTCTGTCTCCCAGAGCCTCTTGGAATTTAGTATCCTGTTACAGTATAGGTTGTAGTTTATTGATAACGTGTTGGACAGGTTTAAGTTGGGGGCTGTAGGTGTTCTATTGTTGGTTTTCTTGGGTCTGTCTTGAAGTATATGGTTCTAGGTATTCATCTGGCTCTTTCAATTTGTTTTTTTATTTCTCCGGGTGGGTAGTTGAGATTTATAAATGCTTGGTAGAGATCCTGAAGTTTCTGGTCTCTGTCAGTGGGATTAGAGCAGATGTGGTTGTATTGAAGGGCTTGGCTATAGACGACGGATCGTATGGTGTGTTCTGGATGGGAGCTGGAGGCATGTAGGTAACTGTATGAGTCGGTGAGTTTTCTGTAGAGAGTGGTGTCTAATTTTCCATTGGTGATTTGTCCAGGCTAAGATTGATGGTGGGATGTAGGTTGTTAAAATCTCTGTGGAATGTCTCCAGTGTTTCTTGGCAATGCGTCCAGATCATAAAGATGTCATTGATGTAGCGTAAGTAGAGAAGTGGTAAGAGGGGATGGGAGCTGAGGAAACGTTGTTCTAAGTCAGCTGTTACCTGTTTGTCTGTTAATGACTCTGCCACCTTACCTTAGGTCCCGTGTCCCTCCCAAAGTTTGGCACCTTTCCTTTAGGGTACTGCCCTGCCACAGTGCCCTCATACTCTTGGGGTGTCCCCCTTAGGGAATTCCCAATCCCATATACCCACTTTGACTTAATGACCCTACTGCCATTTGTCATCTAGCTCCTTATCTCATGGGAAAACTGCCTTCTGAAATGGCTTCTCATCATAGACAAGGGGGTGTGGACCTGCTGCCTAATCCTGCCCTAGCTATCTCCCTGCAGCCCTAGTATCCCTCAGGTCCCTGTTGCTGTGCCTCAGCCTGAATCTTCTCAGGCCAGGACTCCCCTTGTTCATCCCACCTTTCCCCAGTGCTGCTTTGTCCTGTTTCTTCTCTCTCCAGAGTTCGGTGAGAATGTCTTCAGCAGCCTGGCCAGTCATCTCTGTTATACTTCCCTTCTGGGCTATGATTGGCTGACTCTAGATCACCTGATTGGCTCCTAGAACAGCCCCTTCCCAGGATGTTTTTAACCCTTTTTACCATGGAGCAGGGTGACCACCTCGCTACAGAATGAAAACTAGATATGTCTAAATTTCCCATAGAAAGGAAATTTAAAACATCATATATTTTGGAAAAAATAGAAATGTTTCCATTAGGTGGTTCTGAAATGAAATAGAGAACCCATCTGCCTCAGCCCTGGAGATTGTGTCATGCCCTGCCACCTACTCCAAGGGGCTCCCTAGGCTACTTCTGAGGCATTTGGCTGTTTGGTTGCTTTCAGGGTGGGCAGAGCTTGGGCTGCTGGGTGAAGGCTCACAACCCACAACCCCCTCCTCCTTGGGAAAGTGCTGTATCTCCTGGTCCACTCGAGAGCCGGCCTCACCTTGCTGCCTTCTGGAGGGTTCCTTGTCTTGTGTCTGGTTGCTCCCAGGGTGGGTGGGTGAGGCTCTGCAGAATAAGAGATCTAGGAGTCCTGAAAGCAGGGGCTCCAGCTGAAGCTAACAGAGCTGCCAGACTCCTGGCTGTGCAGCAGGGATCCTCAAAACCTTGAGCGCCTTGTCTCGAGCCCCGGTCTTTAGGGCTTCCGTGCTCTCTGCTATAGAACTGAGAGCTTAGATCCTGATAGAGCTGGGGCTCAGTGGGAGGGAGCCAAAACCCCTCACTTCTGAGGCAGTCTGCACGGCAGTTGCAGTCTGCCTTTTAGCTGTGGACCTTTTGGAATCCCAGGCTCCTTTTGTAACCTGTGAGGCAAGGTGGCAGAAAGCCAGGTGGGTCCATTAGAAACCTGCCTGATTTTCATGGAAGCTTGATGAAAATGATAATGCTTCTGGGAAACATTTCGGTTTTGATAAATTGACTATTTCTGAAAAAATGTTTCCTCAGAAAATATTGACCAGTTTTAGTTATATCCCATATTGACTTTGAATTACCTAAGTGAATGATCCTACTGCATCCATAACTAAGGTCGAGGCAATACTCCTTGCCCTCTAGAATTCTTTATAGGCTACTTAATTCCCCTATTTCAGATGTTCCCTTCTCAAGTGAGTTTTTTTTATTTGAGTGTTCCAGAGAGTATGCAAGTTACAGAAAAAAAAAATCCTGAAGAATTTGCCAGAATGTTCTATATACTTCCATCTTCCAGGCCTACTTTTTTCTAAACTATTTATTATTTGAATCCTGGGGGACCTGAGAGGCAATATTCTTCCTTGTGTCCACTGTCTCACTACAGTAGTGTAGCCTTAAAAATTCTGTAGGACCAGAAATCCCATGTTGGTTTGATAGAATGAAGAGGCTGAAAGACTGAACACTCCATAACTTTGAACCCCAGGGGTGAAACCCTGGCTTCCTAGAAATAAATGAGAGTTCTGCTATTGCCTGGTTTGGGTGCAGGATTTCACTTCTGTTGACTAGGAGGTAAGATAGAATCAATGGTAGGCTCTTGGGGCTAAACTTGTCTTCCTTTGGATAATGGCATTTTATTCCATTAGCATCAGTCTCAGTATGGGGGATTTGGAGTGTGTCTGTAAGGGAGAAGGAAGCAGGAGCTTCAATAAAAGGTATCCTGCCGAAAAACACTAAGAACAGCTAAACTTGGGAAGTGAGCTTAGTCTATATTTTGTTCGTTGCATTTAAAGTCACCAAGAAAGCCAAACCCCAAGTCAGGAAGACCCTAAGTCTGGATTCTATTTTGTGTATGCATAATTAGGATAGGGGTGGGAATGCTACCTGCTTTTAGATATCTTCACTTTCAGCAGTGTCACTTTAAATTTGCATGTGTTATCTGGTCCTAAAATATAAACCCAAACTAGAAACTTACTGCAGAAATTGAGAGCAATTTTGGATAAGGTCCCATAGACCTTCCTTCTCCTGCACATTTGTGCAGTTTTTTCTGAAATTCTCTACCATTTTCATTTTTGTGTATGCACAATGCTCTCAGACAAGCACAGTAAGGCTACGTCTAGACTGCAAGCCTCTTTTGAAAGAGAGCGTCTAGACTACAAGCAGTTTTTTTCGAAAAAGCAAGCCACTTTTTTGAAAACGAGTCTAGAGTACTTTTGAAAAAAGGCATTATTCCTTGTAAAATGAGGTTTACCGCGATTGAAAAAACTGCCACATTCTTTTGATTTATTTTCGAAAGAATGTGGCTGTAGTCTAGACGCAGGTGAAGTTTTTTCATAGAAGGCTACTTTTTTCGAAAAAACCCTGTCATCTAGACACACTCTAAGAGGAATCAGATCCGGACAATGTAGGGTAAGATGAAGATAGCCTTCTCATTCCATAAGAAGTGGGAGTTGAAGCAATGATGAAGAAATGAAGACTGATTCAGAAAGATAAGACTGTAGCTTACATCATGGAGGACAGGAAATTGTAAAAGAACTGACACGATTTCACAGCATGCAATAGTGGGAGATGAAAATCCAAGCGAAACATCATGGCATGTGAGAAACAAGCTTTCATTGATCACCACACGCCATGATAGCACTGTCTAGGAAACCATTAACAATGGTGAGTAAAGAATACAATATTTGACAACTATTGTTTTGTTTTAAGAAGTACGCATTAAAAATACATCTAAAATCAAGACACAAAGAAGCTACATAATGTTGTTAAACTTCTTGCTGATGTGCATCTCCTGTGTGCTTGAAGAAAACTAGCAATTCATAGGTTTTTTGACTTTCCAAGTTTAATTAATCACTTTTCTTGTTCTGTGTTTTTAAAATCTATGCAGCACTATTAAATTGATGAAGCCCAAAATAGAAGACAGTGCTTTACAAATATATTGCATATCTGTTTAGTTTACAAAATATGCTCACGGTTGGCATCCAAAATGCAAATATTAGGAATCCTGGTCCTGTGATGCATTATGGTTTTCATTAGTGTGTTGCAGGAGAAAGTGGGATTTTTTTTTAGCTCAGTACAACATTAACAGCTGCTACTTTGTTGTACCTTATAAAGGTAAACTCATCAACAATGTGTTAGTTTCGACAAACATTCCAAAGAATGATCACTCTTTGTTGCATGTAGAATAAAAGGAAAGAAAGTAAAATGTTAATATAATTAACAATATTTGGCTTGGAAATGTATTTTCTCCACACACTCAATTTCTGTGGGCAATCCAAGTGTGTGTGTGTGTGGGGGGGGCTTTTAGCTCTAAAACATAATCCTTTCATGTTCTAATACACGAGGGTTAAATGGAGAGCTTTTAAGCTGAGAAAATATGCAGTCCATGTGAAAGGTTTGATAGTACTATATAGGCTCCAAAAAGCTTAAATGTGCCGGACTGTTTTTATGGAAGACAGTAAATTAGTTTTTCCTTTACCTATGACAGGTGAGAAGCAGTTCTTGCATGACCACTGGCTATCACCATACATCTGCTACCATGCAGGTGAGACTTTCAGTTCAAAATGATGACTGGTAAGAAAAACAAAATGTCTTTGCTGGTTATAAATTTAACTCTTCTCTGATTAGCCTGGGCCAATTAGGACACCCCTGGGGTTCAGACTATGGCTCAAGTATGAGCTGAAAGCCTGATTAGCTGAGGTCTCTTGATACTTGTTCTTGGTAGTAAATGCTGGCACACATAGTATTGATTTTCATTTAGATATCTTAATGTTTCCAGACAATCCTAGCAGATGTGGGCTGAACTCAGATCTACGAGAGTGCTGGGCTGCAATCTGCAAGCATTTTTCTTGCCATTTTGTTTCATTTTTCCTAAACTTAACTGATTTGGAATCAGGAGATATAAATGAAAAATGCAGAGTTTGCCTATCAATCATGGCATGTACAAACATTGCTACTGCCCTTTTCTAACATCCTATTACCACCGGGTAGTTGGCTAGTCAAACAGGAATAAAAATTACACTGCAAACATCATAAGTTAGGCTTGATTTGTTGAGCAAGAAGCCTGACAATTCTGTAAGAGTTATATACCTCAGCCTCGCTGAAAATCAGCCTTGTTATGGCTCTGGTACGTCTATAAAGATTGTTCATTTCATATAAAACAGCTACCTGCACTGAAAGGCCTGAAAGGAAGAATGATGCTGGTTATAAATATAGAGGAAAATCTATTTGTCTGCCCCTTCGTGCTGTTAGCAAGTCACACGATGCAGCCCTTATGCTGTTCCTAGGCAGCAGGGGGAGTTTTCCATGGCCACCTTTTGCTTTCATCTTCTGGCCTGGACTGAAGCACATCATCTCTCTTTGTCATATGAGATAAAGCAATGAAGTGTGACCAGTGCCACTGCATTGCACTCTGCCCACCAGGAGCACGTTAATGATAATGAAAAACTATACTGCACCACATTTAAACTAAATGTGAGCGTAAGGCTGTCTGTTGGCAGACTGGTATAACAGTTAATGTCATAAAAGATAAATAGAAATTATTAGAATTGGTTTGGAAGGGATTTTTTTTATAGAGCAGGGTTGTATTCCTTTAAAGATACATTATCAGACTGTTAAATCTAATTTCAGGCTACTGGGCAATTAAAATGATTAACACTCTTTACTCATAGCTCGTTTCATTAAAGTTTTAAACACCCTTTGCACACTATTTATGTTGAAAATAGAGAAATTACATGTGAAAATGTCTTGGACCATTAATCATTCAAATTTGCTATATAACCACCTTTGACAAACCTTAAATCTATAGTGTATATTTACCAACCTCAAAGGCATGCTTGAAAGAAAGAACAAAATCAGATTCAACACCCATTGCATCTGACAGACCTTTTGTAGCTCTCAGACCCTTTCCTGTGTTTGCAAAGAAAACTTCCAGAAAATCCCACAAAAGATTGTTTAGGAAGCTATTCCTCCTAGGGGTTTGTCTATTCCTTAGCTGTATGGATCTGGGGACTTTATTCCTTTCTTGGTATTCAGTGATTTAGGCATGGAGCTCCAATATTCAACACCCATTGCATCTGACAGACCTTTTGTAGCTCTCAGACCCTTTCCTGTGTTTGCAAAGAAAACTTCCAGAAAATCCCACAAAAGATTGTTTAGGAAGCTATTCCTCCTAGGGGTTTGTCTATTCCTTAGCTGTATGGATCTGGGGACTTTATTCCTTTCTTGGTATTCAGTGATTTAGGCATGGAGCTCCAATTAAA